GGTACCCCAAATGCCCATGTTGATGTATGTGTTTTTGGGAACCTACTTCCAGAAGCGTACTATCTCTCTTGACATGTCCTGGGCTAGGGTGGGGTGTTCCCTAGTTTCCTGAACCCGAAACCAAGCCCCGAAGGCCTGAAACCACCAACAGTCCTGAAGCCCCTTGCCCTCCCTGAACTACCTGAACAGCATCTTCAGGCTCTCTTAAGTCCCTAAACTCTGTGTGACCCTAACCCCTAAACCCTAAACCCTAAACCCTAAACCCTAAACCCTAAACCCTAAAACCAGCCTTTTGCAGCGGAGGACTCGTATCCTCCTCGCGCCCTCAGTATCGGAGCAACACTTCATCGAGCCACGACTGCAAAGGGAGCCGAGAGGTTCGAGGTTTCAGGGTTTAGGGTTTGGGGTTTGAGGTTCACAAGTTGACGCACACGACCCTAAACCCCAAACCCCAAACCCCAAAACCCCAAACCCCAAACCCTAAACCCCAAACCCCAAACCCTAAACCTCCAAGTCTTCAGGTTCCGGGTTGACATCGGACCCCTGCAGCTTTTTTTAAATTGTTTATTGCCGACCATTGCTGTAAGTCTTCTTATAGGCTTTCTCTTGGCAATTCGAAAGGTAGGTTCGGGAAGCTTAGGGTTGAGGGTTGAGGGTTTAGGGTTGAGGGTTTAGGGTTTAGGGTTGAGGGTTCAGGGTTTAGGGTTTAGGGTTCAGGTTCGTAGTGCAGGTCTGGGAATGTTTTTGCGTGGGTTGCGAAGCACCAGCCTGCCAGTCGTGTGCCCCAAAGCCTCCCCAAATTTCGTCCTGAACCCTTTTGTAGGATTATGGGATGTTTAGTGTTTGATGGGCTTAGCAAGTGAACATTCAGACTAGGATGGATTCAGGGTTCGGGGCTTGCTGTGGTAGTCAGGCATCATGAAAACACCAAAACCTGTCCAGACATCTTGAGCTTCACTTTTTTTTGTTGGGCCGGACGGTGGGATTCGGGTATCCTGCTGCAGTACGGGGTTCATTGCTTAAGCCCCAGAAAAAAGAACAGCCCACCCAGCTCGCTCTATGGGCCTTAGGGCTTAAGGTTTTACTCTACGGGATGCCGACATCGTCGGCAGAAGCACTAAGGAACCGCCTGTGTCTGGGCATCTTAGGGCGGTTACATGGTCCCTGAGTATGGGCCCTGAAGTCCTGGACCATATTAAGGGGCCATGTCTCCCTTAGAAGGTAAGCCCTTTAAACTCCTCCGCTCCCGGATTTGTCGGACGAAATGCCTCAGAAGTGGTGGGGCGGCTTCGTGCGGCGGTACTTCCGGCAACCGGGCTGCCAAGACCTCATGAAACCTCACTACCCAAAGCCTACCTGCTCACCCCAACCCCCACCCAACCGCAGCCCTAAGCCCTAAGCCCCAAGTCCCAAGCACTGAGCCCTGAGCCCTAAACCCTGAACCCTAAACCCTAAACCCTAAACCCTACACCCTACACCCTACACCCTACACCCTAAACCCCAAACGAACCCTGAGTTCGCGCCTGGCGGCTGCCTGAATCGGGGGCGTTAAAACAAGAACTCTTGGGGTGCAATCAAGCCTCAACCCTGCATCCAGTTTCGGGTCTTCTTTGCGGGTTGAGTGTTGCGAAGAGGCCCTATACGGTTTCGGGTGCAGGGTTTATGAAGTTGAAGAAGTTCAGATGCAGGGTTTTGGGAATTTCGGCATTCCTCTGGTTGGTTAGGGCTGCGCTGTCAGGTCTATCCGGGTTTTGGAGTTTAGAAGCTTATGACCTCCTGATTAAAAGTGGAAAATAGCCGGGTAGTGGCTGCACTAGGGACAACGTTGATATCAATCTACAGGCGATCATCTACACGACAACTCTGCTTTATCATTCTTTGCCACGACAAAATGGAATTCGCAACTTTGGCACATAGGCTGGTGGGTTGCCACACCCCCAACGCTGTAAGTTTGCGGATGTGGGTTGGTAGCAGCTAGAACATCGGTGAAGAGTCGACGAAGCTCTGACAGCTGGCTGATCTCGTATTCCCGTGGGACAAGAACACGTGAGCATCCCGAGCGAAGAGGCATGCATTCAGGGCGCCTCAGGTCATCACTGCGCACAGCTGTATTTTGGGGCACCATGCCCTCTACACCCTAAGCCCTAGAACCGCTTCCACAACCGGAGCCGGTTTTGACTTGTTTCTTGACTGGCGCGGTGAGACATGTACGCTGAGTGTGCGCACAACAACCACTCAACCCTCAGCCCTAAACCCTAAACCCTAAACATTAAACTGCCCCAGAGCCTAAACTGAACCGAATCCCAGGGGGACGGTGGTGCACCCGGATCACTTCCTGACTTCGGCACACAGGTTGCCGGGATCGGAGTTGATTCGGGTTTAGGGTATAGGGTTCAGGGTTTAGGGTTTAGGGTTTGGGATTTAGTGTTGAGGGTTAAGGGTTTGGGGTTTATAGAAATTGTATAGGATTTGGGTCCCAATAATGTTTAGACCCAAACGGTCTGCCTGAAAACCCTCAACCCTAAACCCTAAACCCGAAAAAGTTTTCTTCTAGAATCTATTTTTGGCTTTTTTGTGAGGGGAGCAAAGGGTGCTGCCCGGGCAGGTTTAAGTAAATTGAGAATTTGGCCGTCCGGGCGCCTTGGATTAGTACGCTCAAACTCTGTTTTTTTTCAGCTGTTTAGACAAATATCTTAGGAAGTTCAGAATGATATCACATACAGTGTCGATTGATTTTGTCTTGAGGGTTTAGGATTTAGGGCTTAGGGCATCTAATTATGCACCACTGCACTGCTCTATCGTTCCAAAGAGCAAGATCCTAAATTTACACCCTGAGCCCTAAATCCCTAAACCCTAAACCCCAAGCACATTGAAGCGCGGGAAGTAGTGTGGGGCCACACACCCCCGAATCTTGGCAACAGGCAAAAGCTGCCCCCGACCAAGGGCTGCGTCAAGAAGTTCGGATTTGGTTTGGGGTTTAGGGTTTAGGGTTTAGGGTTTAGGGTTTAGGGTTTAGGGTTTGGGGTTTAGGGTTTGGGGTTTAGGGTTTAGGGTTTAGGGTTTAGGGCCCCGATACTTCTGACCCTGGCCTCTACATCCACTGCGAGGTCTTCTTGGGCACCGCTCTGCGAGGGCACATGCCCGCTGTACGAGGCCGGAGTGCTAAGGAGGTTCTACTGGCTGGTTCTTGGTAGGGTTTAGGGTTCAGGGTTCAGGGTTCAGGGTTTAGGGTTTAGGGTTTAGGGTTTAGGGTTTAGGGTTTAGGGTTTAGGGTTTAGGGTTTAGTTGACTGAGGGTTTGGTAGGGTTTAGGGCTAGTTGGGTTTCTATTTTTTACTTCATATTAGCATTGTTCAATGCTTTTTTGGCCGGCGGGGGGTGGGGGGGGTTGGTGGTTGGTGCTTAGGCTTAGGGGTGGTTGTTTGGCTGTCTCGGGCCTTCTTGGGGAAATTCAAGCGGCTGGTGAAGGCAGCATTTGTGGTCCTGCACTGCGCCATGCAAGGCCCTAAACCCTAAACCCTAAACCCTAAAGGTATTCGGGCCCATGTGGAATCCGAGCCCGACCAGCGGAAGGCTTCGCAGAGGAGGGGCATGTTTGCCTTGCTGTGGTTTGTAGGGCGGTGTGGTGTGCGGGAGGTCCCTAAACCCTCTGAGCTCTAAACCCTAAACCCTCAACCCTAAACCCCTAAAGAATGTTTGGAGCAAAGACCCCGGGAGGATCCGTGCTTCAACCTTGGCATTTCTCACGGGGTGCGGGTGCTTGCTGGCCCTTCGCTGAGGGAGCGCACCGAGATGGCGAGTCCCAAAGTGCAGAGAAATGGATGGTCAGGAGTTGGGGGTCGAGGCTTGAATGATAGGGATGCCAGGTGTAACCCAACATAATTACCCAAACCCTTTGCTTGGGGCTTGGATTTGGCAACTTTAAGACCATCATTGTTATGACGATAGTGAGTGCTTTTTTGATTCATTACCATGACTGGCATCACTTGTTTGTTTACGATGACTACTTACTGTGGTTTCTCTGATTTCTATGACCACTATCATTGCCATTCATACCATGAGAACTATTTATGCGATTGTTGCTAATTCGTGCTGTATTACTAGTAGTAACCAGTACTATGATATATGTCACATTAAGCTTAAAATCTTACAAGTCCCTGGCCTCACAGACTCTAAGCCCCCTACAAACCCCGAAGCCCAGAACCCTTGACAAACTTACAAGCCTGCCAACCCTTTGTGCCATGCATATCCCGGATATACCCTGCGAACCCTGTGTCCCTATGTGCACACCGCGCAAATCCTAGAGAAAACCTGTAAAACCCTACATACACCCGACAAACTCCAATATACACGCTATACATCCTACACACACCCTATAACCCCCAATGTACCCTATGAACCCACATACACGCAAGTAATGGTCCCTAATACACCCTAGAAGCCCTGCTATACACTGTATAAACCCTAAACCCTAAACCCTAAACCCTAAGCCCTAAACCCTAAACCCTAAACAGCCTAACCCCTAAACCCTAACCCTAATCACATCTTGCTTCGGCCCAGGCGATGGCCTCGAGGCGCTTCGTGGGGCCCAGGACTTCATGTGTTGCTGGTGCCCGCAGCTTAGGAGGGTTTGGGTTTAGGGTTTAGGGTATTAGGGTTTAGGATTTAGGGTTCAGGGTTCAGGGTTCAGGGTTCAGGGTTTAGGGTTTAGGGTTTAGGGTTCAGGGTGTTCATAGAGGCTAGGGTCAGGGTTTTTGGGTGTAGGATTTAGGGGCTCACAGGGTTTAGGGTTTAGCTTTCAGGTTTTTAACCACTCTGCAGGCCTAGCGCCCTAGCATGTCATTGTGGACTGCTGCAGCGTTTAAGGGCTCATACACCATGAGATCCTGGGGAAAGGGCGGCAGGCAGCGAAAGAAAAGCAGAACCATGGCTCCCGTCTTGGCTTAGGGCTTAGGGTTTAGGGTTTAGGGTTTAGGGTTTAGGGGAGGGGTGTCTGGGATCATGGTGCGGTTGGCGGCTACTTGGGCCTCGCTGTGCGTCCTCGCGCACGCAGCGCCGCTGCGCGTGATCCTTGACACGGACATCGGCGACGACATCGACGATGCTTGGGCACTGAGCGCCTTGCTGCAAGACCCGAGGGTGGAAGCTTGGCTGCTTTCTCAGATCTTAATCTCCGCTGTTTCTGGACACAGACCTGAATCAGGGCAAGTCTGACAGCTAGGAGAAGGATTCAACTTGGGATGTTCTCCCTTATACAAGCAGTCCTTAATGGGGATTACAAAAAGTGGGGGTACTAGAATCCCTGGCTGTTAGTATAAGGGGGAACATCCCAACACTCAGCCTTCAACTTCAAGGATCTGCGGCTGGTGGTGACGGACTCCTACTCCAGCCTACACCGGGCTCAAGTCTTAGCCAAGTTCCTCGACCTGGCGGGGCGCCTCAACGATGTCCCGGCCATTGCGTTGGGGCCCAACACCACAGGGAAGCCTCTCATCATGGTGGCTCCGGCGTTCTATGCAAGGCTTTGTGAAAATTGTTCGAAACCCCTTCCAGAAGTAAGGCAGCAGTAGCAGCAGATGAGGGAGCGAGACGGAGTGAGCAAGACTCAGCCACTTCTTGAATGTGTATTTTCATGATGATATAGCAATAGACTCGTATAGCTAGAGAGTACTATAGTCATGCAATGAATAGCTGAGTAAGCAAATTTGGTACATAGCAACCCAGTTCGATCTCAACTTGCACTTCGTTTTCCAACTATCCTGGCAGTAGCTGAGGAGGGCTGGGCCAGCCCGAAGGACTTGGCGAAGTTCCCGGGCACGATCCACGACTCGGCCGCGGACGCCATCATCGAGGAGGTCACCCAAGCTGTGCAGGACTCTGGGTAGGCCCTCGGGGATATTTCTTTCTTTTCCCCTAGTAGGGGCTAAGGGTTGAGGGTTTAGGGTTTAAGAGGGATCCTATCTAGGAATAAGGGTTTAACGGGCCAACCTGGTCATTCCGGCTGGTGATTTAGGCTCCGGTGATGCACCAGGCCCGTGGGCTCCATTAGCCATCGCAGAAAATGTCACAGGGTTTAGGGGGTTTAGGGGGTTTAGGGGGTTTAGGGGGTTTAGGGGGTTTAGGGTTTAGGGTTTAGGGCAAAAGTTTCCCTCGCAGGACCAGGCGCCCATCTCATTGCTGGTGCTGTCGCCCTGCCCAGCTGTGGCACATGCACTGCAACGTGCCCCGTGGTTTCTTGGCTGCTTGTGAGTTTTGCCGGACAGGTGGTGGCACTGTGGGAAAGAAGTGCATCAAACCCTAAACCCCAAACCCCAAACCCTAAACCCTAAACCCTAAACCCTCAACCCCATATGCAAAATGGGTCATGTAAGTGCGGAAGAGGGCCCCACTACCATCGCAGGTTGAGCCGTGTGGCCTCCATCCATGCAATGGGCGGAAGCATCTGGCATGGAAACAACGGAACTGGGCTGCCGGTTCCTGAATGGAACGTGCGAGCAGATGTGGCGAGCTCTCGGGTGCTATATGCCCATCTCAACGTCACCGCGCCCTTGGATGTAGCAGGTCTGGCTCAAATAGACGGGCCTGCCTTTGGGAAGCTGCTGCAATGTCAGGGCCATGTGCCTGTCGTCCGGGCACTCCTGCACATGCTCACTTGGCAGCTGAGTAGATAACTTTTAAACCTTTTTGGTGTATATACATGCCTACCAGAATTCAAAGGTTAACAAAACAACCCTAAGCCCTAAACCCTAAACCCTAAACCCAGATTACTCGGCAACTAGGTTCAAGACTTGGCTCCCCCGCTGCCCATGGCCACCAGTCTTGGACGGCCCTAAGGGGCCAGCTAGCTCGGTGCGCTCTTCCGTTGTGTGTCTTGGTTGCCCTTCCTGTGTTTGGGGTTGGGGGTTTAGGGTTTTAGGGCTTAGGGTTTAGGGTTTAGGGTTTAGGGTTTAGGGTTTAGGGTTTAGGGGTCGCTTTCCATAACATCTGGCCAAAACCTAAACCCTAAACCCTTAAGATGACGACTCCGAGGGACCGGGGGGGGGGGGGGGGGGGCGCTTTCTCTCCTTTTGGTTGTCGCACTGTTTGGCCATTTTTTGGGATGCTCCCCCTGATACTAATAGGGATTCTCGTACCCCCTATTTTTAGCCCTATTAAGGACTGTTACTATAAGGGGGAACATTCCAAGCACCCTAAACCCTAAACCCTAAACCCTATACCCTATACTACCCTAAACCCTAAACCCTAAACCCTAAACCCTATGTTGGGCCATTCTGGTTAGAATGGGGCTACCCGAAGGTATGATGCAGTGGCGGTGAGCACACTGCAACGAGCTCATAGAACTTGCGACCCTGCGGGTCGCCATTGACGACCAGGGCTTTACCCGCCCCTGGGGGATTGTTGGGGATGTTTTTGATGTTTTGGTACTATAATTCCTAAGAAAGAACAAACAATATGTATATATATATATATATTTTTTTTTTTAAAAAAAATATATATATAAATATATATATATATATATACATTTTTTGCGAGGTTTCCAAGTCCAGTTAAGGCCCCGCCAGCAGCGGCTGGCGGGTCACTGCGGGAGTGCGCTGGCGCGAGCTCGACCGTTGGGAGACGAACTTCGTGGACTTGCTCCTATATCCCTATTTTGGAATTATTTCTTATTTTTGTTTATATAAAGCCCAAGAGGGTATTTAAACATAATATTTTTATATAAAACCCAAGAGGATATGAAAAAAAAATGTTTTTTCTTCAGGTTCTAAGGGGAGTATAGGCTCTGCGGCGCTACCGATGCCTCCCTGGTGGTGTAGCTGGTGGTGTAGCTGAGCTTGCAGCCGAAGGCCAAGTAGCGAGAAAACAACGCCCCTGCGAGCCCCAGTTTCTTCTTGGCGGCAATTTAGTTCGAGGACCACCAGCTAAGTATAAGTGACCTCAGTGGGGCGAAGTCTTCGGCGAGTAAGAACTATATACCTTCAGATCGAAGGCACGGTTGGTAGTGTCTTAGTAGGGAAGTACGCAAGTAGGCACTTCGGATTCCCTTATGTACCCCTTTAAGGGGTTAAGCTTCTAAGGGGTCATTCTGGGCACCGAATTCCCAAAGTTTCCTATTTTAAGTCGACATTTTTCTGCCTTAATACAGTCAGCACCGAAGCTTCTAAGCCCCTAAGCCCCATTCCAAAAGTTGTCACTATGTCCAATGAACCCCAAACCCTAATACCTCAAGACCGTATAGGAACCAAAAACCAGTTGGAACCGCTGAGGACCAGTAAAGTTACTCTTAGTTTGCCTGCCTGCACTTTCGCCTCACAGGACACGAGGGACTCGGCGGCAGCGGCGCTTGCATAGCCGGCGCGTGCTTGGTTTTGCGAGCCTCTTGCTTAGAAAGCCCCCCCAAAGCTCCTAAACCACTCAAGCCCAAATCCCGACCCCTACAGCTTTTAACCCCGAGCGGGCCCCGTCTGGGATCACAGAGCATACTTCTGCAGCCACGGAACTTGAGTGAAGCCTGAAAACTTTCGAGGTTGGCCCACCCTCCCCCCCCCCCCCCCCCCCCCCCCCCAACTATCCTTAATTGGGTTCTATCGGGCCTCGCTAGCAGGAGCTTTTGCCAGCAGAAGTATAGGGCATGGGATTGGAGAGGCAGGAGCTCTATAGAGCCCTCAACTCTACACTCCAAGCATTGGACTTCGGGTTTAGAATTTATAAGCCCTAAACCCTAAACCCCAAACTCCTAAACCCTAAACCCCTGGAACGGTTTCAGATGCCAGGCCTTCGGGTTTAGGCAGCTCTCGCGGCCTTGGCCAGGTGGAGCGCATCGTTCCCATCATCTTCTCCACCTGACCCTGAGTTAACTAACAATTAGCCCTCAGTGCGCCCCATAACCCCCCCCCAAACCCTAAACCCTAAAACCTAAACCCCAAATCAGGGGCACGTAGGCGGCCATTGTCATGGGTAGCCGGGGACCCGACACCCGAAGCCCTAAAGTCCGCGGCCTGAACCTCCAAATCAAGAGTATCCCGCAGGGTCTATTGCCCGTAGTCCTGGATCCTCTGGTGCCCTAAGCTTTATAAACCCTAAACCCTCACCCGAAACCCTAAACCCTATACCCTATACCCTAAATCAACAATTCTCAGCCCCCCCAAAAACCCCCCATACATCTTCAGGGGCTTTCGCTGAGCCAGAAGAGTCACCGCAAGATCGACGTCATGACCTCGTAGCTTGCCGTTTAGGGTTTAGGGTTTAGGTGTTAGTGTTTAGGGCCTTGAGCTGAGACATCACCGTCATGGGTTTCAGGTTTTGGATATCATCTTGCTCGCGCAGCAGGTTCTGCGAAAACTATGTATCGTGTCACTACATTGCCCAGAGTTTCAGTGACATGCCGAACAACCAAGACTTGTGGTGAATTTAGGATGGAAGCATCAGGATCTATGCGCATGCCCCTTAGCCCCTGAGTCCTCAGTCTAGATCGACTGAGCTGCGGGCGTGGCACAAAGATGCCGCCGCACCCGTTTCAGTAACACAGCCTCCTTTCAGCCTGCCTCCTACGGTTTCGGGCACGCGAAAAGCTTGGATTGACACCGCCGCTATTGACATGAGGGGCATTGTGAAGCTTGTGGATTCAGGTTCGCTCTCAGGGTTTAGAAGGATTTTATACGGTTTATAGTGTGTATAGGGGGGGGGTTATAGGCCAGATAGGGTTTTGGGGGGTGCAGGGTTTGGAAGTTGAGGTGTCCGGTGTTTAGCTATAGGCACCAAGTAGTTGTACGAGCTAGGGTCGTGATACCGTAGTAGAGTCATTTACTGTTTGAGTGCCCCAAGAACCCACCACACCCCTTCAGAATTTCATGGAGGTGGTTTAGGTAAACTTTACAACTTTACAGGTGGCCCCTCTGCGCGAAGATGCCGTCGATGCTTAAGTGATAGCCTGGCGTCCTAGACTGGGGCCCACCAAGGGCCCAAACCATACTTTCAGCTGTGGGAGCTTCAAGACCGAAAGCTTTGAGGTTCGGGGTGTAGGGTTCAGGGTTTAGGGTTTCGGGTTTAGGGTTTAGGGTTTAGAATTTTAGGGATTTCGGGTTCGAAGGGCCTTAGGATTCAAAGGGTTGTAGGGCTAGGGTTCGAAGGGTGTTAAGATTCTAAGGGTTGTAGGGCTTGAGGGTTCGAAGGTTGTAGGGTTTTAGGCTTCTAAGGGTTTTAGGTTTCAAGGGGTTTTAGCTTTCCGGGGGTTTTGGGATCTGGCTTCAGCCCTCCCTGAACAAAGCCTTCTTCCCCCCCTCCCTGGCAAAGCGAGCCTGGAAGCAAGCCGTAGAATGAACCCGAATCCCCAAACTCTTAATCTTGAAACCCTGGACCTTCAACCCTAGAACCCGAAACCTTGAAACCCTTGTCAACCCTAGAACGCTAGAACCCTAAACTCCATAAGCCTGAACCCCCACTTCACACCCGTCGGGGCTCCCAGCGTGCGCGCCACTGGGCCCCGCCGACCCCCCGAAAGCGGGGGGGTGAGCCCACCCTGGCCGGGCCTCTTTTTCGGAGCAGGGGAGCCTGGTGTTTGGGGTTCTGAGAGTTCTGCACAGTGCGGAGGGTGGGGGGGGGAGGGGAGTTAGTGTCTGGGTTTTTTAGGTTTTAAGGTTGAGGGTTCGGAGTTGTTTAGGGATGGTTTAGGTTGAATGTGATGATGCCGTATGAAGTGGTTGAGTGGGCTAGAGTGCGTGTATGTGTATGCGATCATTGAGTGAGTGCTGTGCCTGCTGTTCACTCTTCTTTCTGAGGTCCATGTCACATTGTCACTTCTTGACAAAGTGCCTAGCCACTTTCATTCGTTAGAGTGACCTTCTCGTAGTGGACAGCAAGACAAACCTAAACACAACAAAACCCGGTGGTGCCCGTATTCCGCTTTTAGGGGCTTTGATCTTGTTAAGAAGCAAGCCAAACAATTGGCACCGCTTTTTTCTTTTCTTTCCTGGGCTACTACAGGCAAGCTGGGTGCAGTGCAGGGCCTCAAGTTTCGGGGGCTGAGTCCCATTCTGGGTCCATCCCTTCCTTGTTTTTCTTTTTTTTTTTAGAGGGCGGCTCTGAGGCAGAGTCCATTCTTTTGGTTTGTCTTTTTTTTAATCCTTGTGTGTTTGTGTTCTTTTTTTTTGGGGGGGGCAAATGAAACAAAGAGCCTTAGATTTCGGATACCCCAGAGGCCGACCAAGTTTCTGTACCCTGCCTGCTTGATGAGTTGGGAGGGTGTTGCTGCAATACAGTCCTCAAAAAATCAGCCCAGGCCTTCTCTGGCGTGGCGAACCCTAGGAACCCTACATCTCCAGATCCCCAATCCGGAAGGGGTTTAGGGTTTCTGGTTTAGGGCTTGTAGGGTTCATAGGGTTTAGGGTGAAGCTGCGCTTGCAGGGGGGAGAGTGCTCTGAAGCTCCTGGATGGCGCAGACACCCCAAAACTGTAGGTTTTATAAGTTAAGGCAAAGGCGTTAGAGATGCGACACCCAACAAACACTCAATACTCAATATCCTGAAATCAGAGCATCCCCTCCAGCCCCATACCGGCACTCCACCTAATCCTCTGAGGGTATGTTCATGGTCCCATAATATGGTCCCTGACTTCCTTCAAAGGTTCTGATGTACAGGGGCTTCATTTGTCTAGGGTACCCATAGGGACCATGCAACTACCCTTAGAAAACCCTCACAAAGACGCCAAAGTCTCAGAAGCCCTAGCCGACCCGCAGGCCCGGCAGGCTGTGGAGGGGCATGGCGACTCGAACTATATTGCAGCCGTGCCTCGGCAGCTGGGTTTCGGGTTTAGGGTTTAGGGCGTTTAGGGTTTAGGGTTTAGGGCCAACCCTCAAGGTCCAAGACCTTACTAGGTCTTAGGGTTCACATGAAAGGTATATGCTTGGGCCCCATGGGTCTAGGGTTAGAGTTTAGGCTTCAGGCGTGGTCTATGTGGGTTAAGGCTTTGGCCCTAAAGCTACTGTAGTGGGAGCACGTTTAAGGCTCAAGTATATATATATATATATGCTTATATGTGTGTTTACATGGACTGGTTTATGGTTGAGTGTTTAGGATTTTGGTTTTGGTGCTTATAGGAGTCATAGTGGTATCTGGGGCAGCTTAAGGTTAATTCAGACAGAGGGTGCAAAAATACTTCTGAGGGGGAGAGTCCGCTCCCTAAACCCTAAACCCTAAACCCTGCGGCCTGTGCTGAGGAACCGGGCGTACGATCACATCTACGCCGTCGCCTCAGCAGTGGCAGTTTGATGGCGCGTCCCCTAATCTAGGGGTCGGACACACTACTTTTCGTATTTCCTTATGGTCCCTGTATAAGTAAGATCCCATAACCCCCAAAACCTTTTAAGGCTCCTATATAATTAACCGTTTATGGTCCCTGTATGATTATACTCTAATAACCCCAAGCCCTTGTTTAAGGCCCCTATATCAGACAGCTCGTTTAAGCGCAGCGTTTTCCGCAGCCTGGGCTGAAAGCCTTAGTAGTTCGAAAAACCGTTGAAAGGCGGCCTGGAGTTCTGGGTCGACAACCCGAAACCCGAAGCCCTGAACCCTAAGCCCAAAAAGCCCTACAAGCCCAAAAAAACGCCCTGTTTGCCCAGCAAAAGTCCTCTGAGACCTAAACCCCAAGCCTTTAACCACCCCTGCAATCATAACAACCTGCGAATCAAGGATCCGGTGTACACCACCTCTCACGCCAATGATCACTACAGGCAGACAAGCAAGGCATGGCTGTGGGCAGGGATGAGGGTTCAGGGTTTTCGGGTTTAGGGTTTAGGGGGTTTAGGTTTTAGGAAGGTTTAGAAGGTTTAGAGGTTTAGGAAGGCTTAGAAGGTTTAGAAGGTTTGGGGTTCAGGGTTTTGGTCAACGCGTGTTAGGGTTTCGGGTTCAGAAGGTTTGGGGTTTGGAAGGCTTAGTGCTGCAGGGCTCAGACGTTTCAGAATGCTTAGAAGGTTTGGGGCTCAGGGTTGAACGTGTTTAGGGTCTAGGGGCCCTCATGATAGCATTACGAGTCAGTTCTAAACTGGGCGCACGCGCACAGGAAGTAAGCCAACCAAGCACAGACTCGAACAAGGTCGAGGTACAAATCCATCCTAGATCCATCCTCATCGAACAGAACGAAGACCATGGTGTGGACAATTGAGACCCTAAGCACGAATCCCTGGTATGTGGGAATTAAGGCTGAAGGTTTAGTGTTTGATCTTCACGGCCTTCTCCTCTGTCTCTCTATCTCTCTATCTCTATCTCTATCTCTCCCTCTCTCTCTCTCTCTCTCTCTTGCTCTCTCGCTCTCTCGCTCTCTCTCTCTCTCTCTCTCTCTCTCTCTCTCTCTGTCTCTCTCCTAGAACCCTGCACCCCAAACCCTGGACCGTGAACTTGAACTAAAGAAGTGTTTGGCACAGCTCCAGAGGTTTGCCCATTAAAGCAGGCATAGACACTCACACATCTTTTGGTGGCCTGAATCTGCGGTTAGTGTGACAGAAACAGGGTGAAGTATAATGATCGGACGTAGTAGCACCTCACAAAAGGAAACCCCAAAAAAGGAAAGGTTGTAGGTAGCGGCTGAGTGGTACGCCTCGGCTGAGGCCTTCGGGGGACTGTAAAACTCGGGTTCAGAGTCTCTAGGGTCCAGGAGGCATTTGCTTCTAGGGCTGCGTTTCAGGTTGATGGTATCTGTTAGCAGAATAAGCCGAAACCCTAGACCCCCTGCCCCCAAAACACTAATTCGACCCAAAACCCCAAAAGCCCTAAACCCTAAACCCCTAAGCGCCTAAGCCCTAAACCCCAACCCCCTACAGCCCAAACCCCAAACCCTAACCCCTAAACCCTCCAGGCGATGTTCAATGCGCAGCGCATTGAGCGAGACTGGGCCTCGGTAGGGTTTAGGGTTTAGGGTTTTGGGGTTTGGGGTTTAGGGTTCAGGGTTTAGGGTTTAGGGTTTGGGGTTTAGGGTTTAGGGTTTAGGGTTTAGGGTTTTGGGGCTTAGGGTTCAGGGGCTTAGGATTTGGGGTTCACATGGGCTGTGCAGGAGGCTTGGCTTGTGTGATCTTCCAGCATGTTTTCATACGGTCGGGCGGTGGAGTGCCACGAAGTTTCCCTGAACCCTAAATACCCTGAACCCTGATCCCTAAACCCTAAACCCTAAGCCCTAAACCCTAAACCCTAAATCCCAAACCCTAGTGGCACGCTTTTGGATCAGCTCGAGGTTGGCCCGAAGGGCTTTCGTGACGTACTGAGGGAAGTCTCTGTTTGCCAGCGAATCTGTTGGCGTTTAGGGTTTAGGGCTAGGGTTTAGGGTTTAGGGCTTAGGGCTTAGGGTTTAGGATTTAGGGTTTAGGGTTAAGGGTTTAGGGTTTAGGGTTTAGGGATCAACTTCAAGCCAGAAAGAAGCACCCCAAGCCCCAGCCCCCGGTCGTCCGCAGGTGCCGGACGACAAGTACCTCTTCTCCGAGCTGCCACATTACCCGCGCTGCACGATCCAGGCCAACTCTGGAATGTTGGGGGTTTGGGGTGTTTATAGTATTCCTAAACCCCAAGCCCTAAACCCGAAACCCTAAACCCTAAACCCTATAAACCCTAAACCCTAAACCGACTTGAGACAGGCTCTGGTGCTATGCCTAAGGTGCCAAGCCCAAAGCCCTATCCAGAATCTGTGAACTCAGCGAGTGGGTTCAGGGTTGAGGGTTTAGGGTTTAGGGTCTAGGGAGGCTTATGATGGCTGAATGATGCTGAGCTGGTCAACTATCTTCGGAGTTGTCGAACATTCACCTTCAAATGACCATGTCATGTCGGGTGGGAAAGCCCTAGACCTCAGACCTTAAAGTCCCAACCCTACTCGCTAAAACCCTCAAAGACCCGAACCCTAAACTTTGCACAACCCTAAACCCTAAACCCTAAACCCTAAACCCTAAACCCTAAACCCTAAACCCTAAACCCTAAACCCTAAACCCTAAACCCTAACACTTTGCACCCTTGGAAAGCAACCCGAAGCCCGCAGCTGCTTTCGGCTTCCCTCCTCGCCGGCGCCTGCAAAGTATGGCAAAAGGACCGGTTCGGAGGCGGCCTGTGCGGCCCGGCTGAACCTTTGGTTTAGGGTTTAGGGTGCAGGGTGTAGGGTTGCAGGGTTGCAGGGTTGCAGGGTTTAGGACTTGCAGAGTTTTGGGTTTACAGTTTACAAGGGTTTGGGGCGCAGCGTTTCGTATGGGGTTTGGGGTTGAGGGTGAAGGTAAAAGCTACCACCTAGAGAGATCCGGCGAACGCATATGAGTATCATGTTTGAAGGATTCCGTACCGCAGGCTTTCAACATGCCATGCCCTACCGAAACCCCACAAGTCCAACCCACAACGGCTTGGGAGGTTTGAGGGTTTCTTCTGTACGAGCTGGATTGGGGGCCCTCAACCCGCAACCCTAAACCCTACACCCCAAACCCCAAACCCCAAACCCTAAACCCCAAACCCTAAACAATGTAAAATGCCAGGTGGGCCCTCGTCCTTTTGGCGCTCTTCGTCCTCCAAGCGCCCCGCTGCTTTGTTGGGCTCAGCGCGAGACCATTCGCATCCGCGAGGCAAGGGGAAGGGGGGGGGGGGGGGGGGGGTGTTAGGGTTTAGGGTTAAAGGGTTTCGCAGGTTTTTTAGGGTTGTTTAGGGTTTAGGGTTTTTGTTCGAGTGTTAAGGGTGTTTTTAGGGTTGTTAAGGGTTTTGTTTAAAAGCCTTATAAGGAAGTTTGGCATCGATAGGTTTAGAGTAGGAAGACGGAACTTCCATTCCATAGATGCAGCCTGCACCCCAGAAGCGCGTAAGCCCCCGAAGCCTAGAAGCCTCAACTCTGAAGCCCTCAACCCTAATAACACCTTTTGATGAGACTCGGACGATTTATCCAGGGTCCCAAGAGGGCACCTGTTAAGGGGGCCTTCGGGTTGAGGGTTTAGGGCAAGCTTAGGGCGTCGACCTTAAAAACCAAGAAAAACCGAAGCCAACAACAACAATGCCCCTGAGCCGCATGATGGCTATGAAGAGCAATGACCCTGAACCCTACACCCCTATCATTCGTAACCCTGTAACCCTCTCACCCTATAACCCTGTCATTTCTTTTTTCCCTTAGCACTCGACCCTATATGCCCACAGCACAGGGCACAAGACCGTGTCCTGCAGCTTGCGGAGAAGGACGACAAAGGCCCGCGCCATGTAGTCTATGAGGCTTAGGGTTTAGGGTCTTTGGTTGAAGAAATGGTTGGGGTTATCGGAAATTAGGAACGGGATTGTGGGGTTGAAAGGGTTTATAGGGCTAGTAAAGATTAGTTTGCAGGGACTATACAGGTTTAGATGGAAGAAAGGGTTTAGTGCGAAGGCCAGAAGCAAGCCCCTGAACCTCAACACCCCGTAACACACCCCACATCATTGTCTGAGTCGGATAAGCTCACACCTTCCCATTGATGTCGTCCCTTTGTGTTTCCCGCAACTTTGCCCTTATCTTGCTCTGAACATTGCCCTTACTTTTCCCTTGTTGTGCTCTTGGTGTTGCCCCCTGGAGTGCCTTCGGCTTTCATGAGAAACATCAGCCTTGATGCCGCAACAAAGACAACAGTCCGGCGCACAGGCGGATGAGACAAGGAGACAAAGTAAAGACATAATGTCTTTGAAAGAGAACCCCTCAACGATGAACCGAAAAGGGCCCAGACTCCGTGGGTTTAGGGTTTAGGGTTTAGGGTTTAGGGTTTAGGGTTTAGGGTTTAGGGTTTAGGGTTTAGGGTTTAGGGTTTAGGGTTTAGGGTTTAGTGATCTCAATCTCGGCAAAGGCCCATGTAAGTCGCATTCTCTCGGCTGTTGAATGGCAACCAAGACCCTAAAGCGTAAACCCACGTCCCAGGGGGCTTCTTCAAGGATTCCTTGGAGGGAACGCCCTACGAGCCACGGCTTGCTTATGACTTGTCATGTTGTCGCTCTAGTACTGCTACTGCTACTCGTAGTGCTTCTACTGCTTCCAGTACTGCTACTGCTACTGCTGCTGCGACTGCCACGACGACGACGACTACTACTTCTTCTACTGCTACGTCTGCTACTTCTACTTCTACTTTTACTTCAGCTGCTATGGTTTTGTAACGTCATTATCGTTCTTCCTCCTTTTGTTGTTGCCATCTGCGTTGGATACTGTTAGGGGGGTGGGCAAGGGCTGGATAAAGTGTAGAGATCAGGGCCAGTGTCTAGGTCTCAGGGCTTCCTAAGCCGTAAACCCGAAACCGCGACCCTAAACCCTAAGCCCGAACCTCGAACCACCCGAAATCCTTAAACCTGCGATTCTGAAGCCGCACCCCCTAAACCCTAAAAAGGTGTTTAGGGGCTTCGGGGGTTTAGGGGTTTATAGGGTTTAGGGTTTGGGGGTTTGAAGCTGAGCCTGGGAGAGTCCGAGGAAACCAATGAGACGACAGCAGCTCTGGTCCTTGCGGTGGCCGGCTCGTTGACGCTCTGCTGCAGCGATGCCTCAAGCTGTTGGGTTGGGATGTCCCCCCTGATATACTAAGAGTCCTTTATAAGGGATTTGTAGTACCCCTATCATCATCCCTACTAAGGGCTATTAGTATAAGGGGGAGCATCCCAACTGTTGGGCTTTAAGGTAGTTTAAATGGTGGTTCAGGATGTTGGGTTGTACGTGTTGGGCACAAAGTGGTTCTGGATCGAATGTGGAATGTAGGATTTCCGGTCGAGGGCGTGACAGCTTGTGCATGGTGTACGAGGACATTCAGATTAGGAGCCACAAAGCCCAATCGCCGGCCCTGGAACCCGGATAGGTTCATTTGAGTCACGAGCTTCTGAATTTGGTTGGAGTTTAGGGTTTAAGGTTTCGAGTGCGCTCCCTAGACTAGGATTGTTTTTTCTTGGTTTTTTTTCGGGCCCTTAAATGTTGATTTGCCAAAGAAGGGACCTTTGTAGGCATCGAGGGTGTAGGGTTTATCTTTCGGGTTTTGGGTATAGGGTTTATCTTTCGGGATTAGGGTAGTCCGTTGACGGCTTGTCTCCAGGGAGTTCGAGCTCAGAGACGAGAGTTCTTAGGGGCCAGGCTGCTTGCGTCTTCAGGCGCGCAGGGGTGGGTGCCTAGAAGGTCCAAACTACTGTGTAGGGGTTTTACCTTGGACCCTTAAGGTTGTACCCTTGGGTTTTGGGGACCCTTGTTAAAGATCCTTAATGTAGTATTAAGGGCCATATTCCCCGACCTTAGAGGTACGAGTCTTAATCCCTTGATACTGATAGAGAGGTCCGTGAGCCTCTGTGTGAAGGGGGCTTGAGTGGAGGGTCTTTGTCCGAGACTAAACTCCTCAACCTAGCCTAACCGTTTGGCTGTGTGCACATTTTGTGGGTGTTTGTGTTGAGACCCAAACCCTCAACCCTAAACCCTACACCCTAAAACCTTGACAGGAACCCGTTAACCCTAAACCTTATAAACCCTAAACCTTAAACCCGAAACTCGAAACCCGAGGCCTTGTTCATGTGTGTACAGCTGCGCTGCCCAAGGTTATTCTTCGCCTATGGCGTGCCATTCCTCACAGAGTACTTCACCGCCGTCAGCAACCCTCCCTACTGAGCCCAAGAAGGGCTTGGCTAGCACGTGAGGAATCGGCTGTGCCAGACATTGAGGTCCCCTTAGTTCGTAGGATCAGTTAGGCTGCAGGCCCCTTAAAACATGTTACGCGGGGACCCCCATCTCTGCAGGAACAGAGGGAGAGCGTGTCAATATGCCATATGGCCGCTACATTGGCAGCTCCCCCAAACCCCACACCCCAAACTCCAACCTCAAACCCGAAACCCTAACCCTAAAACCTAGACCCTAGACCCCGAAGGAATCCAGAGGCCGGCATCAACATGAATTGCTTCCATCACTAGACACGACTTGGCAAAGTCGGAAAAAGGGCACCAATCCCCTTCCTGCATGGAGCACCCCCGTGCGGCAGGGCTCTCAAGGCTTAGGGTTTAGGGTTTAGGGTTTGGGGTTTAGGGTTTAGGGTTTAGGGTTTAGGGCTACGTACCCGAATCCCGGACGCTTGAGCCCTCGAGCGCCTCGAACTCCTAAACCTAAACCCTGTACCCCCTGAACACTACACCCAGAAACCTGTACAGTTGCTGATGTTGCACCCAATTGAGTAGGGTGACTTGAGATGTTCCCCCTTATACTAACAGTCCCTAACCGGGATTATAGTACCCTGATTGTACTCCCGATTAAGGACTGGTAGTATAAGGGGCAACATCCCAAAGGGTGACCCTCTATAGAGACATGTTTGCTGTTTGCCTGCTTCGGCGAGCACATGCGACGAGGTCTGTTTGGGGGGAGGGGGGGCCGGGAATACAGCAAGCAGTGTGCAGCGTGCCACTCCCAGCTCTAAATCCCAACACCTTATAACCCCAACCCTAAACCCTAAACCCCCTCAAACCCCTAAACCACCAAACCCTAAACCATGGAGGGTCCTAAACCCTGAACCCTGAACCCTAAACCCTAAACCCTAAATCTTGGGCCTCCAGACTCGCAGGTGACAAGCAAAGAGGCGCTTCCCAGGCACGTGGACAAGGCTCTGGCGGCCAAGTCCCAAAGCCGAAGCTAGCAACCGCTGAATGGGTTTGGGGTTTAGGGTTTGGGGGTTTAGGGTTTAGGGTTCAGGGTTTAGGGTTTAGGGTTTAGGGTTTTGGGGTTTGGGGTTTAGGGTTCAGGGTTTAGGGTTTAGGGTTTGGGGTTTGGGGTTTAGGGTTTTGGGCTTAGGGTTCAGGGTTTGGGGTTTGGGGTTTAGGGTTTAGGTCTCAGGGTTTAGGATTTAGGGTTCAGGGTTTAGGGTTTAGGGTTTAGGGTTTAGGGTTTAGGGTTTGGGGTTTAGGGTTTAGGGTGTAGGGTTTAGGGTCCCAAAACCATCAACCCCTAAACCCCAAAACATAACCCTCAGGGTCTGGGGACTCCTATTGCAGGGTGTTGGGGCGAAGCGCATGACACAGTATGTTTGGGGTTTGGGGTTTCGGGCGCCGCGCACACGAGCCTCACATGCTGTAGGCCATGAACCCTAAGCCCTGCACACTAAACCCTAAAGCCAGCACCCCAATCACATCGCGCACCTGATCTTGCAGAAGGCACTCAACCCTACTTGCATCTGGCATTCTTGGAAGAAGGGGGGGAACCTAAAGCCCCTAAAACCCTAAACCCTAAACCCTAACCCCTAAGCCAGGACTGGTTCTCCCCTGCGGAGCGGACGGTCGACCCCAATCAGGATGTGGTGCAGGGAGCCCCGGACCTGTACGCTTTTGCGGCTTAGACTTCTGTAAGGGGCTTAGGGTTTTTTCCCTCTTTCCCTGCTAAGAACTAGAAAGTTTCGGGCGCAAAGTTTTCCAAGACACCCAGTGGTGCCCTTTCTCCCTATTCCCTTGATAAGGTGTCGAGAAACTGTTCCTCCTCGGTTGCGGGGGAAGCAGGGAAGCAGTTGAAAGTGTACCGCTTACAGGGCCTCAGCGCCTGGTTGTTGGTATTGAAGGCACCTTAAGTGCAAGACCCGAAAACCCCTCAGCAGTCCTCGGCACTGGAGCTCTAAGAACACCATTGCGGATGGCGCCTAGAAGCACAGACGCGCCACCACCTGCGAGTTGCGTACGTGCTTGGGGCACCCCAGGGGGGGCGGTGCTGCCAAAGGTGGGTGTAGGGTCGGTTTAGTGTTTAGGGCCAGTTTAGGGTTTAGGGTTTAGGGTTTAGGGTTTAGGGTTCAAGCCAGAGGCGCCCTTTGGCACCCCAAGTCCCTGTAAACCTCAGCTTCCCGAGCCTACCTTCCCAACCCTAAACCCTAAACCCTAAACCCTAAACTCTAAACCCTAAACCCTAAACCCTAAACCCTAAACCCTAAGCCCTAAACCCTAAACCCTAAACCCTAAATCCAACCCGAGGTATGGAAGCCACCGCTTCAAGTTCCAGGCGTGGCCCAACAAGCAGATGCTGAGCACGCCGCGGGGCCCAAGAAGTCTCATCAGGGCTTTCGGGTTCCATAGGCGCTTTCGGGCTGCGGGGCTGCAGGGGTTTAGGGTTTAGGGTTTAGTGTTTAGGGTTTAGGGTTTAGGGTATAGGGTTTAGGGTTTAGGGTTTGCGTTCAGAGCTGGCTTGGGGCTATAGAATCTTTTCAGGATCTGGGGTGTCATAGAATCTTTTCAGGATCTGAGGTGTCATGAGGGAGTTGTGCTAGTTTCTGGGCCCTTACTAAGGTCGGAGGGGGGGAGGTTTGAACCGAAGTTTCACCCCTGGGTTCGACCTCTGTTGTTTTTCAATGAGTCTTCGAATTTGTGAAGAGGGTTGAGTTCCATCCAGGTTCCATAGAATCACCCTAAACCCTAGACCCCAAACCCCTCCCCCCAATATCCAGTCTTTCCTGACTTCTTCTGCGGAACGAAGTTTGCTGTCGGTCGCCCATTCGCGAGATCAAGCCCCCCAACCCAGCATGTCGTCGATTCTCTACATTATGGCCCTGTTCCCTAAATCCCTGGACCCTATAAGCAAGAACCTTCACCAAAAACTCCAGATTCTTTCAAAACCCCGGGGGGTTACAGACAGTAGTCATTCCTAAACCTTCAACTCCGAAAGTTCTTAAGCAAATAGTCGTCTTTCCTAAACCCTAAACTCCCAAATCCCACACCCCAAGCTCCTGAACCTCCTACACCCTCCAGGTCCCCCAGTAGTACCCTTGCTCCCTTTTTTGTTTGGGGGGGGGGGGGGGGGTTCCGTACTAAGACTGGAGAAAGGGTACCCTTATTTATGAAGGAGTAGCTGGGGAACCTAGCCCTAACAAGCTCCTAAATCCTAAACCCTGAACCCTAAACCCTAAACCCTAAACCCTATTCTAGTTATTAAGGCCCCTACAGTTACACAGGCTGCCTCACATCGTCCAGTATGCCTTCAAGTCGAGCCATGGCACTGGCTTCCCTACCGAAGGCCCCCTGAAAGCCTAAACCCTAACCCTAAACCCTAAACCCTAAACCCTAAACCCTAAACCCTAAACCCTAAACCCTAAACCCTAAACCCTAAACCCTAAACCCTAAACCCTAAACCCTAAACCCTAACCCTAAACCCTAACCCCCAAACCCTAAACCCTAAACCGCAAACCCTAAACCCTAAACCCTAAACCCGCTTTTGGCTTGAGGGTTGGAGGGGATGCCTTGCCTTATGAGTTGGGGTTGGGGATCTTGGGGGTCTTGGGTGTCAGGGGTGCAGGCCTTTGCCCGAAACCCTAAACCCTAAAAGGGTTCAGGGTTTAGGGTTTAGGGTTTGGGGTTTAGGGTTTAGGGTTTTCGGGTTTAGGATTTAGGGCTTTAAGTCTCACCCGTGATCAGGCTACAGGGCTTGGCGTTTAGGGCTCGGGGGCTTAGATCATTCTATCCCAAGCCATTGTCAACGCGTTGGTTGCGCTTGCTATCCGAGTCTGGAGGTGTCATTCGGTTGAGGGTTGAGGGTTGAGGTTTGAGGGTTGAGGGTTGAGGGTTGCAGCGCTTTTCCGGCCGATGCAGGCGTCAACGCGGCCGAGCCAGCCACGAAGACACTTGGAGTGGTGTTGGCTCAGTGCTGACGGCTCTAGACTCTAAACTCCAAACCCTGAAACCTGCGACCCTTCAACCCCAGAACCGCAACAGGGTTCTAGGTAGGATCCTCAGCATAGACTGCATTTCCCTTATTCAGTGAAACGCGGGGGGGGGGGGGGGTGTCTCTCTCTCAGGAACAGTTTCAGAAAGATTTCTGGCCCAGCGTCTCTGAAACACTGAGGACAGTCGGCACGCAGTCGGTCTTTCGGGAGCAGCTCCCTCAGATGTTCTGCATCCACCAGGAAGTCATTGCGCGGCTGTGATTTCTTGGGCCGTATAGAGCTCCCCACACTCGTTGCTTCAACCCAAAACTTACAACTCCTGAACCTTAAATGCCTAAACCTTAAAACCCAAACCTTAAACCCTTAAACCCTTCAACCCTTAAACCTTTAACCCTTAAACCCTAAACCCTAAGCCCTAAACCCTTCACCCTATAAGCCCAGAATCCTAAATAGCAATCGAGCTGTGTCCTCAAGTGGCTGCTGGTCGCTCGCAGGTCTGAAGCGCAGACAGACCCGTACTCGCCAGACTACCAGATCCAGCCGAATCAGGCGAGACATGGGGGGACCCCCCCAATGCCCTACACCCTATGATCCTTGGCCCCAAGAAAGGGCACCCCGACATTGAGAACCCCCTGATGTTCAGAACCCCCCCCCCCCCCCCCCCCCCCCCCCCCCCCCCCCCCCCCCCCCCCCCCCCCCCCCCCCCCCCCCAATACGAAAAGATGCATGGGGATTCACAGCTTCACAAAAAGAGTTGAGCCCCGAACTCCTCTGTGCGTTGGGGGGGGCGCCTTTCAGTCTGGAGCCTGCGTGTTCAGGGTTTAGGGTGTCGGGTTTAGGGGGCTAGAACTGGAAATCGCAATCGCCCTAAACCCTAAGCCCTTCATCCTTATCTCCCAGCCCCAGACACGCATCGACCACCTACAAGCGCCACTGCTTCCCTAACTGATAGGTATCGATCGAATACAAAGTGGACACAACAGTGCTACACATTTGTACATATCTGATATGCTTAAATAGTCGTTATAGCAACGAATCATAGTGACAAAAAGGATCCCATGCAAAGGCACCCATGGGAATTGAAACCTGCAGACACCCTAAACCCTAAACCCCAAACCCTAATCCGCAGGTGCCTGAGGTCTTGCAGCTGACACACTTGACGTATGGCCCAGCCTGCGATTTTAGAGAGGGGCGGGGGGGGTTAGGGTTTAGGTTTTAGGGTTTAGGGTTTCGGGTTTAGGGTTTCGGGTTTTAGGGTTTAAAACCCAAACCCAACATCTTCATTCTATAATGTATTTGGTGGGGTGGGTTTTGGGCTAGTGGTTCGAGTTATGTGTTTACAGGAGTTCGAAGGTTTGAGTGTTTGGAATGTTGCGGGTTTAGGGGTTGAGGGCTTCAGGGTTCAGGCTTCGGGTTTTGTCGCTCTTGGTGGTTATGGCATTGGGGTTTCCAAAAATTAGGCTGCCTAATCCTGCAAAGAGGGGGCACACCCCCCCCCCCCCTCCCCCTACACCTAAACCCAAACCCTAAACCCTAAACCGCCCCCCCCCCCCCCCCCCAATGTTGGGAAGTGCCCAGGTTCAGGGTTTTGTTTCTCTGAGTTCGGGAAGGTCGGGTCTGCACCGTTTTTGTGCCGTGTGTTCAAGGGGGCATCCACTGAGCAGCGGCCCACATCAAGTGCCATCATGGAAATACCAGAAATTTTCGGAAACCATACTCACTGAACCACTTGGGGGGGGGGGGGGGGAACCCAAAGACCCCAAACCTGAGTTTAGGGTTTAGGATTTCGGGTTTAGGGTTTAGGGTTGGCCCTAACCCCTCGACCCTGAGGGTTCTATAGTTCTTTCGTGGCACCTAAACCCCAGACCCTGGGCCTTAGTTCGCGGGACCTGGGGGTTTCGAGATGAGGGTTTCGAGGTTCGGGTACAGGGTTCACAAGCCGGCAGAGCTTGCGGCCAGGAGCGGGGCTGCCAGCGACAGAGGCAGAACTGCAGATCATCGAGCGCACAAGGCGAAGAGTTCCGTGAGGGCTTTTCTTCTCCCCTAGTCGGAGGGACCTGCTGTAGCCTAGAGCCGAAGAGCAGGCGTGTCAGGTCAAAAGGATTTCGGGTTTATGGTTCCTTTGGCGGGCGATCTGCTTCCTAGGTTGCATAGGGTCTTAGGGGGTTTACAGGGGGCTTTTCGGAGATCGAGTTGCGCGCGCCCCAAAAGTATCAAGATGCTTGCCCATACGGCCTTGATGCTTGGTTGCCCGCTCCTTAAATGGGGGGTTTCGAAACTAAGGGACCCCGAATATAGACCCCCAAATAGTCCTTACTAACTCCTAAAATAAGGTACAGTACCCCTAATTTCGGAAACCCCCAAATAAGGAACCAACATCAAAAAGGGGACCCTCATGACAACATGGCCACCTGCCCACCAGGGATGCCCGGATGTCGGAAAGTCTCATGGGTACTTTGGGGGGTTTGGCTGCTTTTCTAGAGGCATAAGCCCTAAACAACTCTAGATCCTAAATCCTAAACCCCAAAGATACCTTAAATCTAGCCACAGCAGGCAGTCTCCCTGGGAGAGTCAGAGAGCAACCTACAGCCCCCTGAAGGCCCCTACCCGAAACGCCTCAACCCCTCAGCCCTTATCCCCAAAAACCCGAAACCCTAAACCCTAAACTCCTGCACCCCCCGTAGTTGGGGGGGCTGCTGGTAAACCCCCCAACAGCCCTCTTGCTTCTCAACTTCTGCTCGCCAGGCAAAAGCGCCTATTCAAACAGATGCTGCCGCCTCCCTGCGATGAGCACCGGCCCCATGTAGCGTTGCAAGCTGTGGGGGTTTGGGCCCGGTTTTGGGTTCTTGGAATTGGCGGTTTTAGGGGCTTTAGGGTTTTGAGGTTTTGGGTAAAGGGCTTTCGGGTTTTGAGGTTATGGTTTTATAGGGTTTTAGGGTTCAGGGTCTAGAGTTTAGGGGCGTCAGGGTTGTGAGGTTTTGGGTCCTAGGGCATGGGGATAGAGTTTAGGGGCTTGCAGGGTTTTGAGGTTTGGAGGTTGAGGGTTTAGAGTCTAGAGTTTAGGAGTTCTGGGGATCTGGGTTTTGGGGCTAGGTCTTTTGGATCATTTGGGCTTAGGGAAACTTAGGGTTACTTAGGGTTCAGGGCTTAAGGTTCTGGGTTCTTGAGGGCTTTCTTCTCCCTTAAGCCCTAAACCCTGAACCCTAAGCCCTAAACCCAGCCCTAAATCCTCAGCGTTTCGGGTTTTCGAGTTCGGAACCAGATTGGAGGAGGCCTTGGTGGGCCTACCTGGCAGTCCGCACACCCCTGCCCACCCCCGAAACTCCTACAAAGGTTTAGGGTTTAGGGTGTAGAGTTTAGGGTGTAGGGTTTAGGGTTTAGGGTGTAGAGTTTAGGGTGTAGGGTTTAGGGTTTAACATCTGCACGGGGCGCCTCAGCCCCTAAACCCTGAACCCAAAACTCCGCAGAGCCCCCCCGACATCCCCCAACAGGAGAAGAGCCTAAAACCCTAAATCCTAAAATCAGGTTCGGAATGGAGGTTCGCGTGCAGCTCATGGAGGACTGCTGAAGAGGGGGGCGGGGGGTTAGGGTCTAGGGTCACATGATTCTTTAGGGATTTGGGCTTAGGGTTGAGGATGTGGGGTAATTTCTTCAGACTTTTCAGGCGTCGAGGCAGGAAGGTTTAAAGTTTGAAGGTCTTTGCAGGCTGTGAGGTCACCAAGGTATGGTGAGCTTTACGGAGTTCGTTGCTGCTCCGCCAGGCGCAAGAGTTCCGCGAGTGGGCGGATCGCGACTGCACCGCACAATGGGCGGAGGGGCAGGGTGGTTTCGGGGTTCGGGTTATCGGCTTCCGGGTGCCATTAGGGTGTTCAGGGGGCTTAGGATTGGGGGTGCCTAAACCCTATGCCCTGTGTGAGGCAGGTCGTGACATGTTGCGGAGTCTACCAGCCAGAATGGTGGGAGCGCTTTCAACCCTAAGGCGCTGAATCCTCATGCCCCTCGAGCTTCATCAGGTTTAGGGGTTGTAGGTTTTCTGTTTTTTTTGGTAGGGTGTGTAGGTTTATAAAATGTATCTACTCAGGCTTAGGGTCTAGCTATTGGCATCTTCTGCATGTTCTGTGCCTGTGCAAGGTGAGCGAACGATCAAGGACCTGCAGGCCGGATGCCGGATGTTTGCATTTAGGGAAGGCTTTCGGGTTTTGTGTTTTAAGAGATTAGGGATTAAGGGCCTGTGTAGCGACGGCGCCTAGCAGGCACGTGACTCTGCAAGGCAACCACCACATAAGGCCGAAATCGATGTGAGTCCATCCTTGCTAAGCCCCAGAATCGACACCCTAAACTCAAAACTTTAGACTTAAAACTCTGGGAAGCCCGAACCCCCCCTAAGAGTCGAAAGCCCTGGTGCCCAATAATGCTAAATCCCAAAACCCCCTGGCCCTAAACCCTCAACCGCAAGCGTCCCAGCCTCAAAAGCCCCCCACAAAAACCCGGCTCCCCCGGGGTAGGACAAGCGGCTGAAGCTGCTCGAGCAGGCGGCGATGCATAAAGGGGTACTTGCTTCGTTCTGGTCAGGACGACTGGGCTTTGCAGGTTTCGACGTTTTTTAAGGCCTGTAGAGCGTGAACTGAGATGAAGCCAACAGCACTCAGGGATTGTAATATAATAGGGCTTGGGCGAATGCTTGTAAAGTTTGGGGGCTTGGGGAAAGTGTCGGCCTAGACCCTAAGCCCAAACCCTAAACTCCTAAACTCCTAAACTCCTAAACTCCTAAACTCCTAAACTCCTAAACTCCTAAACTCCTACTCTCCTAAACTCCTAAACTCCTAAACTCCTAAACTCCTAAACTCCTAAACTCCTAAACTCCTAAACTCCTAAACTCCTAAACTCCTAAACCCCTAAACCCCTAAACCCCTAAACCCCTAAACCCCCAAACCCTACCTAAACCCTAAGCACCCTAAACCCTCGACCGGCTCTCGCCGCACCACGCAGCCTTGAGGCGCTTGTTGAGCGCGACCTGAAGCGGGAGGACGCGCAAATCAGCAAGGCATCTTGGGGATTGAAGGAAGCATTAGGGGTATAGGGTTTAGGGTTTAGGGTTTAGGGTTTAGGGTTTAGGGTTTATAGGGTATTGAGGGGGGCATCTTGCCTTGATGGGTTTAGGGCTTATGGCTTATAGGGTTTGGCCATTTTAGGGTTTGGGGGGGTTTGGGCCTTTTGGGGTTTAGGGTTTCGGGTTTGGGGTTGGGGGTTTAGGGTAGTTTTCGCTACCAAAGTGTGAGGTTCTGGGGAGAAAGGTTTATGGTCTGTGGGGTTATAGGGCTTCGAGTTGTGCTTCAAAGGCTCTGATATAGTAAGAGGGGTTTGCTTTCAGGGCTTAATTGTGGTTACGGTTCGGTCTGAGTTTACTTTGGGGTTTGCCATGTCCCACAGCTGCTTCCAGCTTCCTTATGCCATGGCCTAGATGCTTAAGCACGGCACTTCATGCATGAAACAGATCTCCCAAGTAGCCCTGCAACCAAATTAACTCCACAAACACCATGCGCCGTAAAGAACAAGTCGGCTAAAGCAGCCTAGATTTCCCACAAGCCCTTGTAGATCTCGCATAGTTTTCCTGGTTTAATCCTTGTTTACCTGAAGCTAGGAGAGGCACAGAGCCGTAGACGGATTCCGCTTCCCACCCCCATTTTACGCACAGGTGGATCGTGTTCGACAACGAAAAGAGGAGGCATCTATTGCTTTTCAGAACAGGTGCCACAAGTGCAACATGTGCAACTAATTCACAAAATCTGGTTTCAGGATTCAGAACCCTAAACCATAAACCCTAAACCCTAAGCCCTAAACCATGCAGTTTCCCGTGTTAGTCTCACTCTTCTTGATGTGGGTTTTTGTTCGGGCTTCTGTCGGTTTCGGATTTCTTCCAGCAGGTGGAGGACTTCATCCCTCCCCCCAAAAGCCAGAGCCGTGCCAGTGCGGTTTAAGGTTTAGGGTTTAGGGCTTTGGGTGCACGATTTCGGGGATGCCTTTTGCAAGTTTCAAGACGCCAAACCCATGCATCTAAACCCCCCCCCCCCCATTGAGCCGGGTGTCGTCACAACAGTTGCAGACATGTGTTGTTTTCCAAAGGTTCAGGGTTTAGGGTTTAGGGTTGGTATAAGCGGGTTGAGGGTTTAGGGTTGTTCAGTTTGGGGGGGTTCTCTGTGTGTCTGCTCCTCTGCTGCCCGAAGGAACGCGACCGGAAATTGGCAGCCTGCCAGCGCCTTCGCACCAAGGCACGAGCAAGTCTTAGGGTTTTAGGGTTTCGTTGTCTTAGGGTTAAGGGTTTTAGGGGTTTAGGGGGTTTATGGTTTTGCGGGTTTTGGGGTTTTGGGGTTTAGGGTTAGGGTTGAGGTGTGGGGTTTGAGGGTGCTGTCGTCGCAGGTCGTTACCGTCTGCATGGCACCAACGCACGGAACAACCTCATTAGCCAGTCCCAAAATTTCTGGGGGCTAGGCTCAGGGCTGGCAAAAGGGAACTTTAAAAACCAGGACAACCTTGATGGACCCCCCAAAAAAGCACCCTAATAGTCCTTCTCGTATACGAGCCCCATAGAACAACCCCTGGTGATTTCTCCGAACCCCCCAGTTGATCTCTAAAATTGGGAAACAAGATGGCGCCAGGTGCTCAGAAAGATGCAGAAGGAGCGGACGCGCGCGCGGCTCTCAGAATTGGCCATCGACGCCTTCGGCTCAGAATTCTCAAGCAACCCCCCCACTTGCAAAAGCAAAAGCCCAAGAAATGACCTGCAGAGTTCTGGTGTCGGAGGCGGAATCTTAGCTGCTGCTCAAACTTCAGACCCTCCTTGGATCAACCCTAAGCCCTAAGCCCTTACCACCTTAAACCCGGCTTCAACCGAAACTCTAAAGCCGGAACCCCCGAGCTGGTTCGAAGCCTTATTTTTTGCACCAATTACACCCCCAAAACTCAACCCCAAACTCTCAAATCGGACCCCCTAGACGCCCAGCTACCCAAGAGAGAGCAGGCACTGCAAGAGAGGACAGCTACACACTACACCCTAAACATCCCTAGACCCTCAAAGGACGCAAGGCCTAAACAAATGTTGGGTTCAGTTTTTCGGGGTTCCGGGGGTGGCATTTTGGGTGTCGGGGTTGGGGTTTATTAGGTTTAGGGTCTAGGGTTTAGGGTTTAGGGTTTGAGGCCGTTGATGCTTCCAAGCATGCCAAAGACCCGAGGCGGATGCGCCAGCCATGAAGTGCCGGGCTCTGGTTTTTCAGCCTCCTCGTGGGATGGCATGATGAGGGGGGATGGGGGGGGCGGGGGGGGGGGGGGGGGGTAGGGTTAGGGTTATAGGGCTAGGGGCTTTAGGGGCTTTAGGGGCTTTAGGGGCTTCAGGGGCTTTAGGGGCTTTAGGGGCTTTTGGGGTTTAGGGGTTTAGGGGGTGGTGGGGGGGGGTGGTAGGGTTTTTGGGGGCTTAGGCGTGTAGGGGCTTTAGGGGCTTTAGGGGCTTTTGGGGTTTAGGGGTTTTGGGGGTTTTGGGGGTTTAGGGGTTTAGGGGCTTAGGGGCTTAGGGGTTTCGGGTTTCGAGCTTAGGGAGGTTTAGGAGTGGTGCAAGAGAGGAATGTTGGCGGCCACCAGGACGTTTTGCAGCCTTTTGTATGCGGCCTTAGGCAGCCTTTCACCTCCACTTCGGTCCGAAAATAGGGGGCCTTTAATCCTTTTTATCCTCATACCTTAGAAGAAGGACGTCAAGGAGGCACCCCTAACTTCGAAAACCCCCAGTTGCTTTTGCCCTATGAAGGCCCAGGAAGAGGTTTGACATTCTTCCTCTTTGTCAAGGATTGGTCTGAAAGTACCGAGGGCCTTCCCTCGGACATGCAGGTCCAGAGTAGCCCCTTATTCCCTTTGCTTAGGGTTTAGGCTCTGGGTTTAGGCTCTAGGTTAGTCCTGTGTTCAAGTCGTGATGTCTGCCTTTCTGCTGTCGGCTCGACATGTGTCGTACTCCAAGAGGCGACCTGAACATCGACTCGTCGCATGCTAGGGGCTCGAAAAGCGAGGTCTCCTACACCCCAAGTCCCCACTCTGCACACCCCGCAATCCCGCTAAACCGTATAAACACCTACGAAAGCGGCATCGTTCGAGTCTTTGGGGCCTTTCGGGCCAAGCATTTTGACGGCGTGGAACAGTTTCCCCAGTTTTCAGAAACAAATCCCCCGCAAGCGCCTAAACACGCCAGAGCTCCCAAGCTCTGCACCTCAAGTCCCGAGAACCCCGCGCCCAGGCGGGACGTGATCGCCGAGTATGCGGACTTCACCTCTGAGGTAGCTCGGGTTTGGGGTTTCGGGTTCAGGCGTCCTCCTTGTGGGTGACAGAGAGCAGAGCGGCTGGAATCTGGGATGGAGTGCAAGATGTTTAAAATTGAGTTTGGGGTTTGTTCTGGGTGAAGTTTGGATGGAGAGGGGAGGCCGAGTTTGTCTTGTGGCTATTGTCAGCTGTCCAGCATGTCTGGAGCGATGCCGGTTTGGGTTCAGGGTTGAGCTGCGCAGAGATTTTTTGGGGGGTTTCGGGGATCAGGGCTTTTTTGGGGTGCCTATGAGCCTCGAAGCTGGAGCCCGAAACCACCCGAGACCTAAATTCAACACCCTGACCCTCCCTAACCCCTCAACCCTAACCCCTCAACCCTAAGCCCTAAGCCCTAAGCCCTAAACCCTAAACCCTAAACCCTATAGCATCTCATCCCCTCCTTCGGCCCCTGGAGTGCAAGTCCTCGCAGGTGTATGCACCGTTGGCACGTGCGCGCCCCGGGGCATATGTCATTTAAGGGCTCGAGAGCTCAACGGCCCATACTCTGAACCTTTAGTGTTTGGACTTGGGGAAGTTTAGGGTTGAGGGAACAGGGTTTCAGGTTCAGGGTTTAAGGTTCAGGGTTTAAGGTTCAGGGTTGAAGGTTCAGGGTTTAAGGTTCAGGGCTCCAGGAGGGTTCAGGGCTCCCGGTTTAGGATTTCGGGTTCAGGGTTTAGGGTGCAGGGTGTAGTGTTTGAGGTCTTCAGGGATGAGAGGGCGGAGTGTGTTTTTTGCGGGGAAACTAGGGGAGACCGCATGTGTATCCTGAGATGGAGGTGGGCCCACCAAAACTGGCGTGCCCTAAGTTCAGGATTTCGGGTCATTGTAGGGTTTTCAGGGCTTATAGGGTTTAGAGGGTCTAGAGGGTTTATAGGGTTCATAGGTCACTCCAAAATTCTCGAAGCCAATCGGTTCGGGAGCTGCTTTGAAGCTAGGTGCTAAGGCAAGTGTTTCCCCCCTCCCTCAGGTCTTTCTAAGCAACATGTTTGTAGGTCAGTAGGGAACCTGCAAATCACAGGTTTTCTCTTCTCTTAAGTCCGATGCACCCATTCCTTCAAAGACGGACTAAGGGCTGCAAGAATAGCAACTTTAGGGTTCAGGGTTTAGGGTTTAGGGTTTAGCATCGATAAGTGCGGCTGATTTATCTGAACTCTTAGGGGGTGGTCACTTGATGGGACTGAGTGTTTCGAAGGTCATGGGCATGTGCCGGACTACAACACGGCGAAGATTGAGGCTGGGCTGAGGGCCCAACTGGTTTCGGGGCATTTCAGCAGGATGGGGGTTATTAAAATCGAGATTGCTTGTTTCCCTTGCAGGCGGCCGATAATGTTTGCAGGCTCTACAGGGCCTCAGTCGCCGGGCATTGGTGGATGGCAGTGAGCCGACCAGGTTCAGGGTTCGGGGTTTTGCCCCAGACCCTAAACCTTGTGGGGTGGTGGGTTTAGGTCGGGGTGTTCCCCCTTATGCGAACAGTCCTTCAGAGGGAAGAGAATACCCCCTATTACTAGTGGTAGGTTTAAGTCGAACCTGCCGGGGTGAAGCCGTGCCAAGCCCATGTGCCGCAGGGTTTGGGCTTGCTTTCCCATATCCTCAACATGTCTTATATTTCACCAAAGCGCTCGATTCCTGCGAAAGAGACATGGACTTCCCACAAGAAGTTGATGTTGTGTTTCGGTGCGTGCGCATTGCGGGAAAACCGTCCCAACGTCAACCTGTGTAGTACGAAATTGGGTTTGGGGCTTAGGCTTTAGGAGTTTGGAGCTTAGGGTTTGAAAAATAGGCTTAAGCGGCACTGGACCTCTGAATCGCGGACAACTGAAAAAAAAGGAACTCCCCTCTCTTAAAAACCCTCCTACTTCAAGCCTCCCTTGGAGATAAGTACCCTAAACCCCAAACCCTAAACCCCAAGCCCTAAACCCCAACCCTAAACCCTAAACCCCAAACCCTAAACCCCAAACCCTAAACCCCAAACCCTAAACCCCAAACCCCAAACAACGCTGGCCGCCAATCTTGCGGTTCAGCCTCCGTGCGCGAGGTGCAACCATCGGCCCGGGGCCCAGGCTTCCCAGGCTGCTTAGGGGTTTAGGGTTTAGGGTTTAGAGGGCTCTAGGGGTTTTCGGCGCTGCCCGCTTCTCAAAGAGGCAACGAAAGCTTTCTGAGACCCACCACCATGCCTGAGTCCCACACTCTGAACCCCAAACCCGGGACCCTACTAACTCAACTACACCCTAAGCCATGAATCTAAAAGCCTTATTCAAGCCCTCGAAGGCCTGAAGCCTGAACCCAAAAGTCCTAAGCCCCAAGCCCGAAGCCCATGAAAGCTCAGGATCTGTCCACGTACCCTGGGCTGGTGCAGCTTGAAGCGTGTGGACCCCACTGGTTTATGGACTACAGGGCTAGATGGAGGTTTCCGAAAAGAGGGGTACCCTTTACGGGGGGCCCTTTAAGGGGATTCTGTTCTATTCGGGGTTTCAAATCGGTACCTCGGAAACCCCTAGATGGGTGTTGGGGGCTTTTGCGGGGTGTAGGGTTTGCACGGTTGGTTGGGGTTGTAGGGTTTGTAGCTTTTAAGGTTCAGGGTTTTCAGATTTTGGGCTTACCGGGTTTCGCCTTTAACTAGGGTTTATAGGAAGGTTGAGGGCTTACATAGGGTTAGAGGGTTCTAGGTTCAGGGTTTCCCTAGCCCAGGTCTCTTCATCCGTCGGTGCTGCGCGCACCAGAGAAGCATCCGAAGGACGGGGAGATCCACGGCATGCGGTGATGCAGGTCTCTCAAGTAGAGGTGCTGGGTAATAGGCCCTAAACCCTAAACCCTAAACCCTAAACCCTGAGTCCTAAACCCCGAGCCTTTAGTCGAAACCAAGCATCATGTCAGCCAGGTTTCAGGCCCGGAGCCGCTTCAACCATGTCTCCTGCCAACAAAGATGATCGTATCTAAGCCCTACACCCCGATTAGGGTTCGGATCTCTTGTAAACTCCTTCAAAGCAACAGGCACGCTTTGGGTGAACCCTAGACCCTAGCCATAAACCCTAACCCTAAACCCTACAGACCCTAAAAAGCACCGAAGCAAGTATGAGGACATGGACAAGAAGAAAAAGTCCAGCCACCAGGTTCGCAAGGCGCTTCCCAAGTCTGAGGGGGCGTGTGTGGAACTCAAGGTTTATAGGGGCTTCGGGAATTTTAGGGTTTTCGTATGTGGAGTTTAGGTTTGCAAGTGTTTAGGGTTTGGACCGAGTGGTGAGGAAGGGAAAAGGTTTAGGAGCTCTTCTTAGGGCAATCTGTCGACAGTGAGTTCTGCTGTCTCGATAGCTTCCTCGCACCTCCCTTGCTCCAAGCTAGACCGGCCAGGAGTTGGAGATGACGAACGCCCTTAAGACGGCCATGGAGAGCATCAAGAAGGTATCTCGGGTCCCCAGTCCCTGAAGCTCGAGATTTGGTGATTTCGGGTTCGAGGGTTTTATTTTAAGTGGCAGCCCTATCTAGGCTGCAGCCTTTCCTCGCTGAGAATCTGAAACCCGAAGCAAGAAGCAACAAATGTTGTAGCACAAGTCCCCATCTCAAAGCCCTCACTCCCGAAACCCCGACCCGAAGCCAGAAATTGCGGTGCTCGTCATGCGGCTAGCGGACTAGACCAAGTTGCGTTGGGGATGTTTTAGTTGAGAGGCACCTTCCAACCCAGCATTTCTTGCATCAAGGGGTCCTGCCCTAAGACCTGAACCCCCAGCTGGAAAAAGCCCACCTTAACTACTCCAAACCCAGCCCCGCAGCCCTTAGGGCCGCAGTTTGGGGGTAGAAGTGGGGCCAGAATGTACTACCCTCAACTCAGGATGGGGGCTTGCCTTAGGAGCCTGAGCCCTAAATCCCAAACCCAATCACGGATCCCCAAGGTTCTGAAACCCTAAACCCTAAGACCCTTAACCTTGAAACCCTAAACCCTAAACCCTCCTAAAACCCTAAAATTCTAAAACCCTAAACCCCAAACCCTAGAACCCTAAAATCCTAAAACCCTAAAACCCTAAACCCTAGTCTCATGGCTCTGCAGGAGCTTCAGAGCGAGGGCGACGGCGGTGCCGGCAAGGTGCCAAAATGCCAGAACATGTTTCTGAGGGTCCCTTGTCGCTTAGAGTTTGGGGTTTAGGGTCTAGGGTAAGTTTCTGAGGGGCCAAGACTGCGAAAAACTACCTTAGGGTTTAGGGTTTGGTGTTAGGGTTTAGGGTTTCGGGACAAGTACGGTAAAGCATCTTAAACCCTAAGCCCCAAACCGGGAAGTGCACCCGAATCATCAAGGCGGATGGGAGAGAAGGGCTTAGAAGCTCCGAGATCTTCAAGCCCGAACGCCTCAACCCTCAGCCTGACAGCTATTGCCTCAGTCAAGGCCCCGTCCACCCACAACCCAACAATGGACGTTGCTTTGTCGATGAATCAACCCTTACCAGCCCTATGAAATCTATAATCCCTTAAGCTCCGATCAGCCCTATCAGCCCAAAGCCGATAATCCCCAAATCTTCGAGTTCTAGCCACAAGCCCTACAAGCTCAACAGCCCAGGCCAGGTATGTTCCAAGCCCGGAGCAGGTCCCAAACATCACCAAAGCAGATCGACAAAGTGTGGGTTTCTTCGGAAGGAATTCCATCATAAAAAAGCTTCATCGCTCAACCTCAAAACCGGCCAACACCCCCCAACAAGAGCGTATTAAATCCGAAATCCCTTTTAGAACCCTAAACCCGACACCCTAAACCCCACTCCCCCCCCCTTTCCCCCATGCTTCTCCAGGACGCTAGTCCCACCACCAGCGGCGGGCTTAAGAAGTGTGGTCCCCAGCAAGTTAGGGTTCTGGGGTTCAGGGGTTTGGGGTTTGGGCCATTTTGGGTTTAGGGCTTTGGGGTTTCCGTGTCTAGGGTTGTGGTGTTAAAGGGGAGAACGGAGCTTACAGGGTCCAGCAGGTCTGATGTCTGCGGAGGACTTCAAAACCCGATGGCATCTACCGTCGAACCCCGAACCCCTAAAGAATCCTAAAGTAGAATTAGATGGAGACCCCATGTTACCCAAACCCTAAGCCTAACCCCAGACCGGGTTTGGCGGTTTAGGGGTGCTTTGAGTTGAATTTACCAGAGGAGGGGTGAGGTGAGGTTGATGTAGGTGCCTGGCCCTGGTTGGCTGTAGCCTTTTCTGGCTCACGTATCCTCGCAAAGAGAAGAAGCACCTTCCCAGGGAGCTCTGAGCAGAATACTCTCCTTCGTCAGCATCCCTAAACCCTAAATCCTAAACACTAAGCCCTGCTTGAGCCCTACGCACATGTGTTGCAGAAGATGTTCAGCATGTTCTGGTCCGAAGATGCTGGAAGACAGGGCGGGTCATGTTCACGGCGTTTAGGGTGCAGGGTTCAGGGTTTAGGGAGTCTAGGGAGTTTAGTGTTCAGTGTGTTTGCTGAGGGTAAACCCTCAACCCAACCTTAAACCCTAAGCCCCAAACCCTTTCGTGTGTTGCTTCTGGGCTCTGTGAGGTTCCACGTCCGCAACATTCTGGACCGGCCGGACTCGCCCCGGGACAAGAACGATGCGGCTCACCTACACAGCCCTGACTTTGTTTACAGGGTTTAGGGTTTAGGGTTCGGGGTTTAGGGTTTAGGGTTTAGGGTTAAGGGTTTAGCTGCTGGTTTTCATGGCTCAAGACCACCGATTGTTTGAAGTGCTTGGCCGTCGGGTGTTGGGGCCATGGCCACAGTTCCGCGGGACTCCTCTTGGGTATGCTGAGGAGGTATCCTGAATAGCCCTAAACACTTAGCCCTTAAGCCTTAGCCTTTAACCCTTAACCCTGAACCCTTAAACCTTAAACCCTAAACCCTAAACGATACCCACAAGGTTGAACACTCGATCCCAAGCGCATTCTTCGCAGCACAGCGCCCGTACTGCAGGTGCTACCCGAAGAGGAGGAGCAGGAATCAGCCGGGCCCCCGATGACTGGGTTTAGGGTTTGGGGTTTAGGGTTTAGGGTTTAGGTTTAGGGTTTCGGGTTTAGGGTCTAGGGTCTAGGGTTAGGGTTCAGGGTTTCGGGGCCTTCGCCCCAGGCATTTTGGTTCAACATGGTTCGTATGCCTGGAGCCCCTATGTAGGCCCCCATAATGCGCCGAACTCATCCTGCAGCGGCTTGCCCCACACCCTCAGCTCCCTAGTAGTAGAGTAAGTAACCTCTATCCTTTTTGGGGTAGCATAATCCCCCTATAATCCCAAAGGTTAACCTTTGATTCCCCCAGGTTACTGGACAACTAAGGCTCTTGGGTGAGTGTCGGGCATGCCGCCTGGTTGTGTGTCCGCGATGTGATTCGGGTCGGAGGGCTTTCAAAGTGGTTGTTTAAGGCGACATGCACATGCAGCCAAGCAGAAGTGTGGGGCACATAGGCCTCTGCACTCAAAAAGGCTGTGCTGCTCCTGCAGCGCATCATCCGTGGCCGAGCGCAGACCTTGCTTGCTTCATCAGGGTTTTCGTTTCAGGGGTTAGGATTTGGAGTCTAGGGTTTAGGGTTTGGGGTTTAGGGTTTTGGGTTTCGGGTTGAGGGTTTAGGGTTTTTAGGGTTTAGGGCTTAGGGGTTCGGGTTTGAGGTGTCAATACCCATCCGTGGCAAGATCGCCGGCATCTGTTGATCATCAGACTTGCCACTTGGTGTCCTTTGCCCTTTAGCCTAAGAAGCTCATTCTATGAAAGCCGCAGCATGGGTCTAGCCCGCCTGGTACTGCAGCTACATCCAAAAGCAAGGCAACAAGAGAGCCCTATAAGCCCTAACATTCACGCCGGCCAAGAACAATTTTAAGGGGGCAACTCTGTCTGGTTGCAGACTTATCCAAGAGCCCCACAGGCCAGTAAAGCTCGGGTCACATCGGGGCTCCTTTCAACTATAGAATTGGTACTATGACTTCGGCTCTAGTGTTAGGGACCCAAAAGGACATAAGCATAAGCATTTTATAGGGATATGCCTACCTTATTGGGCTTCATTATAAGGGGGTGTATATGGGATACCCTATCCTAATTTTTGCTTATGTGCTTTTCTGGGGCCCTATTAGTATGACGCAGCGCCAGGTACCAGAACCTCATGTTCGAAGGTAAGGAGAAGCGTACCTGCCTCGGGACGCTGTCCGAGATTGCTGAGCCTCACCTGTTTGTAGGACTTTTGACGTGCCAATCTTGTTTCGGATGAACAATGGCAATCTTCAACTAAAACAAAAAGCCTACCCCCCCCCCCTCCCTCCCCGCAAAAGAACAAATACAGATCAAAACAATTAAATCAGTAAATCAAAACAATGTATACGTAGATATGACCCAAAAGACATGTCTTCAAGACCGTTACCCTAAACCCTAAACCCTAAACCCTAAACCCTAAACCCTAAACCCTAAACCCTAAACCCCGTTAAGGGTTCTAAAGATCTCAAGGCTCGAAGGTCATTTTGGGGCTTTAGGAGTGTGTAGGGCTCGAGGGCTTGGATGTTGGAGTCGAGGCATCCTAGCCCCCTACGCCCTAAACCCTTATAGGGTTTAGGGTTTAGGGTTTAGGGCTAGGGTTTAGGGTTTAGGATTTAGGGTTTAGGGTTTGGGGTTTAGGGTTTATGTTTAGGGTTTGAGCGCAAAGTTTCGCTATGAAGCCTTCCAGCACGCGATAGGCCTGGACCTCATCAACGAGTTGCGTGCAGCCGAGCGCTTTGCTGAGACGGCCACGACGACAGAGGAAAAGAGGCGGGCTGGGGCAAGGATAGGGTTCAGGGGGGCGTAGGGTTTAGGGTGTAGAGTTTAGGGTTTAGGGTTGAAGGGGGCTTGGGGTTTAATTAGGGCTTAGGGGGGCTTAGGAATGGGGGGGCGGGGGGGCTTACGGCTTAGGGTTTGGCGGGGCTTTGGCTTTCGGAGGCTTGGGGTTTTGTCGTTGTCTTGTGGACCAGCAAGGGTATGCTTAATCACTTTTCTGGGGCTTTGGATCCTTTCTCAATCCTCAGAAAAAAGGTGCCCGCAGGTTTAATGTCTAGGTTGCAGGGCCTTTTGATGCCGAGACTAGGGTAGTAAAGATTCTCAAGATCCAGGGCTCCGCGAAACGAAGAGCATCCCAAGGCTTTTCACACAAAAGCCCAAAAGAGCACCAAACGGTCAGTTCTCTAAATACGGTCCCTTTTGGGGCTCCTTATTATAAGGCGGGCCCTGAAGAGCCCCCTCAACAATCAGGGTACACACAAAGGGAGCAAGCAAGGGGTGGAAGGGGTTTGATAGTTCGAGGGCCTGGTCTGGGGTTTAGCGTTTAGGGTTTAGGGTTTAGGGTTTAGGGTTTACGGTTTAGGGCTTAGGGTTTAGGGTTTAGGGTTAGGGTTTAGGGTGGTCCCAGGTATGTGGACCAGCTGCGCGACAAGGCCTTCGAGGGGGTTCTGGAGCCCTGAACTCAGCTCGGAAGGGTCGCAGCCGGCGCGAATAAGGGACATGACCGGCCCAGTGAGGGGTTTTGGGGGGATCCAAGCCCTTCCCTGAACCCCAAACCTGACGCATGGATCATCCAGCATCCCTAAACCCTGCAACCCTAAACCCTAAACCCTAAACCCTAAGCCTAAACCCTGCAACCCTAAACCCTAAACCCGAAACCCTAAACCCTAAACCCTTGTGAATATCACCTCGATTCTTGCATGTATAGCTTGAGTGCGTGCCTTTTCATGTGTAGTTCTGAGAGCAGCAGTTTGCATGTTGTACATTTTGTTTGCTGTTGCTGTTACCTCTCGAAGGGCCCTTGAGCTGTGGCAGAAAAGGTAGAGTCCGAAGCGCGAGTGAACGCTAACTGGTAGCGGAGCTGCTCCCCTCATAGTGCAGGGGGTAGTTCCAGCTGGCCTTTGGACTGGTTGTGTTTGAGAGGAGTGTGAGAAGAGAAGTCCTCGAATCGTAAGATCGGGGCAACGTTTTTCCGCAGAACAGCAAAGCAGTTGGTTTGTTCAGTGACTGGATCTGACGAAGGAGTTTGGGCATGACAGTTGCAGGCCTCAGATTCCGAAACAAAGCGTATTCTTCAACGCCCAGTGTCACAAAGAACGGAGTGTTCATTTTCGACGGAAACCCTGCTGACTACCATGAATGGGAGTTCAGAACCGAGCTACGCATTGCGGCGCATGAGCAGCAGGAGAAGCGCCGAAAGAAGAAGGAGAAGAGAGAGAAGAAAGACACTTCGTTTTCGTCAGGCGGTCCTGAGCAAGGAAGAGAGGAGAGAACACCTCAGGCGGAAGCGAGTGCTCCAGCCGAAGGTGGTGTAGCCGGGAGACCGGCAGCTGCGTCAGGGAGACCCACCATTCCTGTCCCTGACTCGCCAGCGGCCAGTGTGGTTGCGCACGAGAGCAGCTCAGACGGGGATGATGGGGCTGTGGACACTGTTCTTCGCGTCATGGAGGGTCTCAGAGGAGACGCCTTCCAAAAGGCTAAGGACATTGGAATCGCGACCCTGTCAGGACCCGGAGGGCTAAGGACCCTGATCTCCGAGATCAAGGCAATGGTCTTCCCGCTAGGAACTTTGGAGGCCCAGGCCTTGTTTCGCAGTGGGCAAGCCATTCGAGGTCCTTTGAGTCGTCAGGACGGGGAATCAGTTGTTTCCTATATAGGAAGGAGACGCAGATGGTGGACCTTGATGACGCAGCTCGATCCGAGGATATCTCTGTCGGATAGTTTGAGAGCAGAATTGTTGCTCGAGTTGAGCGGGTTGTCACGTGATCAGCAGTTGATGGTGAAGGCTTGTTCAGGCGGTGCCCATGATTTTGAGACATACGCAAAGATCATGACCGAGCATCATGGGTTGATTCACTTGCGGGGGAACAAACTACTTGATTCAACACCCCTTCGAAGCCCTGGTTTCGATAGAGATACCCGCAGATGGCAGTCGAAGGGATCAGGCAAGTTTGGGAGCCGTTCACCAGGGTCAGTGACAACCGCTTATGTGAGTGATGTCATTGATTCAGCCTATGTATCGCAAGAACATAGGGCAGATGATCATTATGCTGATGAGTGGTACCAAGATGAGGTACAGGAAGATGCCGAAGATGTGGGGTGGAACGCTTGGACTGATCAGCCGGGTGGTTCACCAGGATATGCTCCTTCCGAGGAGGACGTGATCGTTTCCGACAGCGAGGTTGCCGTCGCCTTGAATGCGATGGAGGACTGCGACTACGAGAGCTTTCCCGAGGCCACGGGCGAAGCGATTCAGTTGCAGTGTGCGGCTCATGTTGCATTGGGCAAGGCAGGTAAGGGTAAAGGATCATCCGGTGGCAAGGGAAAAGGATTTCCGGTAGTGCGCAGTCGCTTGCAATTGTCAGTTGAAGAGAGGAAAGAGAAGCTCAGGGAACTCAAGGCTAAGAGCCGTTGCCTGCGATGTGGGCAAACAGGACATTGGAGCGGGGATCCTCAATGCCCCAAAGGTCGATCTTCACAGTCCGGTTCGGATGGCAAGGGCAAGTCCAAGGGAGATTCCAAGGGATCGAAGTCGGGAACAAAGCAAGCTTTCATGGCAGTTCCAGTGACTAGTGAGAGCGAGGATGACATGGAGTGTGTGTACATTGACAGTGGCCCCTCAGAAGGTAGCCCTAAAGCGTACATGGCCTATCGCAGGGAAGGCGCTCGAGCTTCAAGGACAGCCAGGAATGCCGCTCGAGACACGATGCCTCCCGGTGGGGACCGTGTCTTCACTGTTGGCCAGCATCGTGGGCTTAGTTTCGAGGAGGTTCTTCATCGCTACACTGCATATGTCATCTGGGGACGTTCCTTGAAATCGGCGGGATCTCGGGATTTGGCGGCATTTCTGAATTGGGTTCAGAATTACTACATCGTGAATGAGGAAAGCATGGAGGTAATGAGGCGAGACATCCCTCTAGATGAGGTGCCGCAAATGCCTGGAGCGCAAGCCCAGCAGAGTGTTGCGGTGCCAGCAGCATCCTCCCATGTGACAGCCAAAAGCAAGCCCCCAAATCCCCCTTTGCCTGTGAGTTGTCAGACATGCACCAACTTTTCGTACGTGGGGACAAATGCCTACGTGACAGTGAAGACCTGCAGGGTGTGTGGAAAGGTGTTTAAGGAGAAGAAGACCTTCGAGAAGAAGGACCCCACATTGTGCAGGCATGCAAACACCAGTAGACTGGGCTCGAACAAGGCCATCATGAAGACTTTCTGTAAGGATTGTGGTCATGTGATAGATGAAATGCCCCAAGCAGAAGCCCGAATCAGGCGTCAGGCTGCGCAGGAACTTGAGACTGCGACTTCGGCTTCGTTTGATCTCATCTCGAACATCTCTAGGAATGTGCTCGATGAGGCAAGCCTGGATGCAACGCAGACCATGACATTGTTGGATGAGTTCAGGTCCCAAGTTGAAGATTGTCTAGTGGCCCAGAATGTCGAGGGTATTGACGACCCAAGGATTTCCCCGAAGGACTTACATGAGATCCTCAATGATGTCGTGGAAGCAGCAGTGGTATCTCAGGAATCTCCGTCATCCGTCAGAGCGTCGCCTGGCGAGATGTCGAGAGCTGCACCGCAACGGGCAGCTGGCTCCGGATCGCAAGACCGGAGAAGGACAGATGGGGAAAGCGCAGCGTACATGTCCATGAAGACCAACTCCCTATCCTCGGTGGTTCCGTTGACCCTTGCGGAAGTGGATATTTACGATCATGAGGATATTTGGGGTGTCTTGGATGATGGTGCGAATAGCTCAGTTTGCGGGGAGAGATGGTGTGACAACGCCCAGATGAAACTGGCCAAACTGGGTTTCGAATTCCCCTGGTTGAGCCAAGAAGGCATTCAGTTCAGAGGACTTGGTGGGATGACTAAGACCTTGGGCGATCGACGTCTGTGCTTCTGCATTCAATGCGAGTATCAGGGTGAGAAGGAGGATGGTAAGGACCCGCTAGTCCCCGGTATCCTTGATTGCCACGTGACCTCTGGGAGCGAAACGCCCCTACTTCTATCCTTATTCGCGCAGAGCACCCTGGGTTTGTTGAAGGACATGAAGTCGTTCACCTGCTTGATACAGAGGAACAATGGAGAACTGTGGAGGTTGCCCCTGTTCAGGGTTAAAGGGAGCAATTTGCTTGCAGTGAACCTCTCCTCCGGTATCCGCCTTCTGGATCGAATACCTCGTCCGCTTCGACCTTACAGAGCGCCGTTGGAGAGGAAGATTCGTAAGGGTGAAGGGCACGAAGGTTTGACATCCAAGGACTTAGATCCCCAGAAGCAGAACACAGATTCCCAGAAGCAGAACACAGATTCCCAGAAGCAGGACACAGATTCCCAGAAGCAGGACACAGATTCCCAGAAGCAGGACACAGATTCCCAGAAGCAGGACACAGATCCCCAGAAGCATCCCGATGAGCGTAAGCAGCATCCTCAAAGGATTAAGGACAAAGGCGCACACACCTCAGTCACAGATTCGGGTGGAAACCACCAGGGTAACATTCAGGCCAACGTGGCAAGCAGTGATCCTCGGTCTAGCAAGCAGATGCCGAGTGTCCACATTGTCTCTACGGGGACTCGATGGCGCCGCGAGGCCTCATCTTACATCTACAGCCCTGGGCAGGAGTCTGCGAAGGCATTGGCCGAGGCCCTGCACGGGCCCTTGACTGGGAGCACTGCGATCTTGATCTGCAATTGTCTGGATTTTTCTAACCCCGAGATTCAGTCGGGTTCGTTGTCCTGGCTGAAGGGGCATATTGGCTCGCACCCTGGAAACCTGACCAATCAATGGGAGAATCCTGAGTTCAGAGACATGATCTTCTACGTGCACCAGGCTGTTCGCGAGGCACCCGCGTCTTTGGAGCAGATTATCTGCATTTGCATTTGCACCCAGGGCCGACACAGGTCTGTGGCGAGCAGCGTAACTTTGGCACAGGCGCTCTCTGGAAAGTTCCGCACAACGATCAGCCACGACGGAATGTGCAACGGCTCTTGGGACAGTATGGCGGGCAGATGCCGCGGATCCTGCGGGACATGCGACCACAGCGCGCACGAAGCTCAGCTGGCGGTAGTTGAGCACATGGAGAGAGTAGAGGAGTACCTCTCCTGGAAGGGTCGCATCGACGCTCCGTCTTGCATCCGCCATTTTGAGATCGCCGCGCGACCGTCGCTTGGAGCCGGCCCGAAGAGCAAGCCGATGCCTAGGCCAGGAGCGGGACGCCCTAGGCCATCTGCGAGTTCTGCCGCTGGGACGGTCGATTTGACCGAGGCCGAGGAGGAGCCCAGTTCCAGCCGCAGGCCAGCGCGCAGATTTTCTTTGGAGACCCGTGATGAGCGCGGCGTATCTGTTTTGGAGGCCCAGAATAAGGCGCTGATGCAACGAGTCGAGTCTCTGGGTCGCGAGGTTGGCACTCTGAGGAACGAGCTGCGCCGTCGCTCGAGGTCGAGGAGGCGATCGCGGAGCAGGAGA